TCTCAATAAATAATTAGAGCTACAGTCTAATGTAATAGCAGCTGAGCACACACAGAATATCCCAAATTTCTCAAGGTTAAAATGTATACAAAGTGCCAGTGCTTAGCGAATAATCCCCTTAGACAAATAATCTGGGGTACCAACAATTGTGTAAATTCGACCTTATATGTATAGCGTCCCAGTGCGTATTCAATACAATGCAGTATAGGTCTAGGAGGATGGGGATATGTGTCCTATTTGTTCCACAAAGTATCCAAAAGGTAATATTGCACACTTTATTAATAGAAAAATTCCCATTCCCTAAAAGGAACCCCTACATAAAATCGAAGTGGTACTATTTCTAATAACCATACAAACATCTCTGATGGACGGTCGTCACTGCACACAGACCGAGATGGAGCTTCCACAAGGCGTTTTGCCCGCTTCCTTTGACAAAGATCTTGACAAAGCACATAGGAAGCGGGTGAAACTCGTTTATGGAGAGGGGTCTACAGAGCCTTTAGGCAATTACAGTGTTGTGCAGTACGGGCATCCTCCCGCCTTGTCGAATCTCTATCTTGGTCTGTGTGCAATGATGACCGTCCATCGGAGTGGTAACATATCCACAATATTGTAACATCGCTGTTTGCGTGGTTATTAGAAATAGTTCCACATCAATTTTATGTAAGGGTTCCTTTTGGGGGGAGTGGGGATTTTTTTTTTTATTAACGTTTCCAAATTACACTATGTGCGCATTTTTGTATCCTTTAAAGGTACCGCTATATTTGGACAAGTTACCGTTTGGACACTTTGTGGAACAAATAGGACCCATATCCCCATCCTCATAGACCTATACTGCATTGTATTGAATACGAACTGGGACTCTAGACATATAAGGTCGAATTTACACAATTTTTGGTACTCCAGATTATTTGTCTAAGGGGATTTTTCGCTAGGCACTGGCACTTTGTATTCACATTATTTTTAAAAAGTGTCTTTTTTTCCAATTTTTCCTATTTTTAACGTTTTTTTTATACTCAATTTTGCATTAGGTATACATACAGGATATTAAAAGAGAGCCATTTCTGTTCTTTGAAAACAAATATATCATATTTACAAGGGCTCTTAATGAAAAGCTCTTAAATTACAGTGGGATAAACACAAAGTCTAAGTTTTGTTTTGGTTCAGATGTAGAGCAATTAAAGGGAACCTCCAGACTCCTGAAGCACTTTAGCTTGTTGAAAAGCTTTATGTGTGAATAGTGTGTCCTAATTTTTTAATTTTGGAAAAGTGCAGATTTCAGTAGAAATTGACACTTTAAAAAATTATACTGGTTACACCTGCCTGGTTCTTCAAGCAGACAAGAGATCCTGTTACTTCCTGGTTTGGTTAGCTTATTTGAACTGAACTCAAGAGACGGTAATTGCTCAGACCACCTGCCTTGCAAAGACTTTGCATTGAGCTGCATTGGGAAGTCTGTGATTGGACAGTCCCAGAAAGTCCAGGCAGGGTTAGAAGGGGAGGGCTTGCACAGACAACAGACAGGATATCTGCCGTTTTTGCAAGCTGTTTTTAGATATAATTCCAATTTAAAAATGTATAATTTAATGCATGGATGTTTTTTATGTGGGGTATATCTACTAATAGTGATGTCTCGAACGGTTCGCCGAACGGTTCGCCGCGGACAGCTAACATATGACCCTTTACCTCACAGTCAGCAGACACATTCCAGCCAATCAGCAGCAGACCCTCCCTCCCAGACCTTCCCACCTCCTGGACAGCTCACTAAGAATGCAGCTTCAAAATGGATGCTGTCCAGGAGGTGGGAGGGTCTGGGAGGGAGAGTCTGCTGCTGATTGGCTGGAATGTGTCTGCTGACTGTGAGGTACAGGGTCATATGTTAGCCGTCTGTGGCGAACCGTTCGGCGAACCGTTCGGGACATCACTATCTACTAACTAATTATTTATTTTGTAATTGGGCAGTAGAGTATCCCTTTAAATACAGGTATGGCAGCATATATGTACTAGCAGGTACATTAATCAAATATTAGATTATTATTTGTTTAACAATAAACCTACGTTATACTTGAAAAAACATATCCATTTATTTACAATCTGTAAAATTAATATTTCAAAGATGTTCAGAATGTTGGCACATAAATCAACAATGTATGTCCAATTTCCAGTTTGTGTTTCACAACTATATGTGGCTCAAAATGACTTAATTTTACATTTAAATAATTGTTTCCCTTTTGCCTAGTTGTGCAGAAATATATTTCAGCTATGTCATGAAGTTCATGCATTGTGCAATGGATTAATACTTCCTGTTTCCTGCTATTTACTGGAACCAATGGAAGCCATAGACCAGCATACACACTTATACACTTTTCTTTCAATTTCAGTGATATTTGAATCCGCTGTAAAATGTAAAGTATAAAAGCATAAAGACAGAGAGTGATATATATTTCTTGAGATAGGTAGATTATAAGCAAACCAGTTCTAAAACCCCGAATTCCAAATGTAGTATTTGTTATGACCAAATTCGGGCAAAGAGTCTGCAATAATGCACATTACAAAAAAAAATAAAAATATCTAAATATATTTTTTTAACTATAGATTAACAATCAACTTGAAAATATATAAAATAAATAAATAAATACAGAAAAGTAACCTTACGCACTCCAGATGTTGTGGACTACATATCCCCTAACGGGTTGCCAGCATCATGAGTGTAAGATCATTATGGGAGATGTATCCAACAACATCCGGAGAGCAGAACGTTACCAACGCCTGATATACAATGTTACCGAACACATTAATTTGAGGGAGATTTTCATGGTAAATCAATACTATATTACTATTGTGATATAGTCTTTTTATTTTATTATACATATAACATTCTTCCTTGCTTATATCTTGTTAGATTTAAAAGATGTTAAAAGAGCTTAAGTTGCTATCGCTGGATTCCTGACGCATTCTTCATCTTTCCAGCCTTGTTCATAAAAGCTATTCTGGTAAGCTCCTAGCCTACCTGAGTAGACTGCTCTACCCAGCTGTTCCCACCTCCTATAACCTCCAATCCAGTACCAGCACGAGATTTAGCATACCGCAATACAAAAATAAAGTGGCTCGATCCTCATTTTCCTACAGAGCACCGTAATTATGGAATAAACTCAGGGACACAGTCAAATCCTCATTCAATCTAAAATCTATTAAGAGATCTATGGCAATATACATCAGCACCTGTCAAGGTTGAATATATTTTTTACCTGTTATGTATTGAATTTATATATATATATGTGTGTGTGTATGTGTGTGTGTTGTCAGGGTATTTATATCCGCAGACATTTTGTGCTATGATAAAAACTAAAAGTGTATATTCTGAGTCACTCTGAACAGACCAGACTCCATTTTGTTATTTCAAGTTAACAGAAAGACACTATATTTCTATCTGTAAACTGGCCTCTTTGCCAGAGCTAAGGAATGCATAGTATAAACAAGTGATAAGAAGAATATAATCAAATCTAAACCCAGACAATTGTGACAGAGAAGATTAAATAATTTAATATTTAACTGTCTATATATATAAGGTACCATTGTATGGAAAAGGGTAAACTTAGTTCATGATCTGTCATATCAGAAATTATGGCAGGAATTGCAGACACATAGTCTGGACAAAATTTAAGAACCCCTTTGATCTTTGAAGGATACGTAAGTTATAGCCACTATCTAGATAGGCCAAAATGACGTCAAAATAGCCACCAGGAAAAGTTAACTCTTTCCTGGATAGGTATGTTTAGTGGGACAAGACTGCCCTCTACAGACCAAATAACTAATTTGCGATCTGGAAGATAACCACACCTCTAGTGCTTCTATTGGGTTATCAACTGATGACGTACAGAGAGTCTGGCCCTTTAAAAGTTAAGACAAAGGGAAGATAGAGATACAAGAAAGATACGAAGGAGGCAGATGCAAGAGATGCAAAGAAAAAGAGGAGAGAGGAATTGGAAGTTTGGGGACTCCAACCTCCATGCAGAGAGAGACATCCAAATAAGTTCCTGAGGCTACCAATCGGATGAAATATCTACTCAACTGGTAATTATACTGGTTTCATTTAATTAAATTAAATTAATTAAAATGTATTAATAGCATTATATATGACTGGATAAAGCACGGTCAGATTTCCATATTAAGAAATCTTAGTTAACTAAGAATATATAGTTATAACCATTCCATTCTGCAGGTGGAATTAAGAATAATTATATATTGATGTGATATTATCACATGTTAGCATACCGCTGTTTTTATCCAGGTGTATTGATTTGCTCTAAATTAAGATAAGATATCTTTTAGACAAATTAAAAATCTGCTTAGATAATATGTAGATTCTCTTATTGGATTGTTTTCTGGAAATGGCTAATGAACTGGGTTAAATGTTATTTTATTTAAAATTACATAAGAATAGATCTTAACTACCTAGGAGATCTAGCCAGCATTGAAAGGGTTACTCTAACTGTCTGCTAAACTTTACGACCTTACGCTGCACTCTGAGGAATTCTGTTCTCTGTGTGAAAAGTTTTACTTTCAGTCTGTGTTAAAGATAGTCATAAATCGTAGAATTCTTGACAGATAATGCCGTTAAGCCATTGAAACGTAATACCCATTTCTTTGTATTGCATATCGTTTTATACTGAATATTCATTGATTATTGTTATGCATGTTACATATAATATTATTATTATTAATTTGTCATTATAAATAAAAATCTATTTTTATACATTGTGATATTATTATATGAAATACATTCCACTTAACACGATAAACGTTCTTTGGGATCTGAGAATTGAAATAGTGGGCAATTCTCAACTGTTACTATTATTATCCCATAAATATCCCCACAGTGTGTGTGTGTGTGTATATATATATATATATATAGCTACAGTACCTTGCACTCTGGCTTCAAAATTACGTATCCAAGTGGTAAAAGTAGATGACTGCACTCTCGGTCTTAAATAAAAATTAACTTTTAGTCCTCCTCAAGGACTTTCATCAGGATCATAAACCTGATGAAAGTCCTTGAGGAGGACTGAAACGTTGATCCTGCTTTTAAGAAGTTGAAATAAAAGTTAATTTTTATTTTATTAAAGACACGGAGGCTCATATTATGCATAACTCTTTCTTTATTTCCTCAGCAGCAAAGAAAGAGAAATATAAATATTATCAAAACTGAAGAAAAAACTGTATAGGCACAACAGGTAGCCAATCACAGGGTATAGGAAGTAGCTATATAAGTCTTGTGTCTCCCACAATCCCCCTCTTTCTTTGCTGCTTCCTCAGACAGATAAGTGTTTCTCTGATCTTTGGCTTGCATTGTGATTCCATTTTAATTTGTATTACAGTGTGTTTCCTTTTATGATTTTCATGCTGTTTGTTTTACTATTATTTGTTTTATTATTGTCTGTATTGGTTTTGATGTTCTGATTTTTGTTTTTCCCCGGCTGGTGTCTCCCCTCTGGGCCCGCGGGTGTGTCTCTGCCCCGTCCGGGCGGTCCCCACCCCTCCCCCCCTCTCTCCCCTCTCCTACCCGTGCTTCTGCACGGGACCCGACCTGCCGTGCCGCGGCCGCGATTTCCTCGCGACCGCGGCGGTGTACACTCTTCTCTCCTCCTCCCTCACTTCAGTTAGCGTGTCGGCTCGGCGGGCGGGTGCACGAGCCCCTTCCCCCGCCGAGTGGTTTTTCCTCGTGTGCCTTCCTCGTGCGGCGGCCATTTTGGGGGCGGTCTTTTGTATTCCTCCCAGTGCTGCCGTGCGACCGGCCACCTCGTAGCCCTGCTCCCTGGGGACACCAGCCAAATCGTTTTTTTTTTTTTTTTTTTCAGTTTTCCTTGTGGGTTAATCAACCCTTCCCTCTCTCTCCCAGCTCACACACTGGTGTTATTCAGCCTGCTTTGTTTGTAGTCAGTTTTGGTCCCTATATAATTGCCATTGCATTATTATTTTACTATTTAAATTCTCACTGTCTATTCTGTCACTGTCACTACCATGCAGGATAGGGGTGATGGGCCTGTTGGTCCCCCAGGGGACTTCCAATTAGATAGTACTGATGGTGCCATGGCCTCCCAAGAGTTTCAGGCCATGTTAGAGGCCACTATGGCTTCCTCCATTCAGAAGGCTATTGCCTCAGCCATGGGAGCTGTCTCTTCAAATTTCTCCCAGTCCCTGCACTCTCTGATTTTACCTGCCATGGCCACCCCTGCCCTCTCCCCTGCTCAGACTGTGCCTGGAGCCCGTAAGGCAAAGGCTAAGTCCAAACATGTCGGCTCCCAGTCCTCGATGCAGGTTTTACCTGCCATGACTGACACGCCTGAGGCGGTCTCAGATAGCGCGCACCCCACGCGCAAAAGAGCCCCTGGCCGGGCTAAAAAGGCTAGACTATGGAAAAGGGCTAAAGCCCATGATATTGGGTCGGATACCGACCGGAGTGTGGAGGATGAGTCCGACGCTATGGAGTACGACTCCTTTGATCATGATGATTCTGGCGAGGATTTGCCCCTTACGGGCGTGAACCCCTCCGGGTCCTCCGCCAATACCCGGGGCCCCTCACTTGCTCCCCCGGGGGGTGACACCTCGATCCTTGACCCGCAGGGCAACCCCCTGTTTGACCCAGACGACCTACGTCATCCTCGGTCCGCCGAGTGGGTTCCCCCAGATCACATCGCCCAATATGTGGCTAAGCGTATCCGCACGCCACTTTCTAGGGAAGGCCGCAATAAATTGCGCGCCGAGTGCCCACGCCCGTCCCTCCCGGGCGCGGCTTGCAAAACCCCGGACATTGACCCGCAAATTGCTCAATTCCTGAATAAGTCAGGATGGAAGCCCAAGAAGGGCCTTGACCACTCCCTTAAAAGCTGCCAGGACAAGATCCTGGATACCCTAGGTCCCCTTTCCAAGCTTTACGAGCTTTTGGATGCTGCCAGGACCGGGGACTCCGTCCTGGACGTGGATGTGGCCGTTGGTTGGGTCCAAAGAGCTATTTGCTTACTGGGGAACGCCAATACGGCCATGTCTACAGAAAGACGCAAGGCGATCCTCCTGAAGATCGACCCTAAATTGGCCGCTATGACTGTGGCGGAGCCTGATCCAACTGAGGAGGGTCTCCTGTTTGGCACGTCCTTCGTTAAGGATATGGGTGCTTATGTCAAGACCTTTACGGCTATTGACAAGGCACAGGCGAACATGAAGCGCGTGTTCGCGCCTAAGGTTTTCGGAGGGGCCGGGCGTAGCAGGAACCGTCCACCCGGCCGTGGTTTCCGAGGCGCATTCCGCGCAACCAGAGGTTCCTTCTTTCCCTCGAGAGGATTTCAGGAACAGAGGGCCCCTCCCTTCTTCCCGGCAAGGGGTCGGGCCTGGGGATCCAGATACCCCCGCGGTGGTACCCCCGGCAGACGTCCTTACGGTGAGTACCCTTTCTTCCCCTCACGCTCAAGTTCGGGTGGCGGGGAGACTGGCCTTATTTTGTCAAGAATGGGCAAAGATCACCTCAGATGCTTGGGTTTTACAATGTGTAAGGAGTTTTCGTCTGGAGTTTGTTTCCATGCCTGTCCAGTTTTACTTCCCCAGAGAATTGTCCCTCCCTCAGGAACAGGACGAGATGATTTCCACGGAAGTGGTAGAGATGCTGTCCAAGGGCGCTATAGAGGAGTTGCCGTTCGCCGCCCCAGGCTTTACGAGCAATTTATTCCTAGTGCCCAAGAAAGGAGGCGGAGTTCGCCCTGTCATAAATCTTCGCCCACTCAACGCTTTTCTACGCTACCAACACTTCCAGATGGAAGGTATACACTGCCTCAGGGACCTCCTACGTCAATCGGACTGGTTGGCCAAGCTAGACCTGAAGGACGCATACTTTACGGTCCCCATCGCTTTGGAGTTCCGGGATTATCTCCACTTCACCTGGCATGGGCGTCGTTGGCGCTTCACCTGCCTGCCTTTCGGTCTCTCCTCGGCCCCTTGGTGCTTCACCAAGCTCATGAAGCCCGTGGTGACATTCCTCCGAACCCGGGGGGTTCGCCTCATTATCTACCTGGACGATATCTTGATTTTATCCCAGTCACGAGAGGATCTCCTCACACACCTGGGATGGACGACCGACCTTCTGCAGAAGTTGGGATTTCTGATCAATTGGAGCAAGTCGGTCCTGGTCCCTGCCCAGTCCATAGAGTTTCTGGGTTTTCAAGTGGATTCCATCCAGCAGTTCCTGTTCCTCCCGGATGCCAAGGTGAAAGCCATCCAGAAGGAAATTCGGAGGGCCCTCCGTGTTCCAGATTTGTCGGTCAGACAACTGGCGAGAATTATCGGCCTTCTCGCGGCCTCTATTCAAGCAATTTTCCCAGGCCCCCTGCATTACCGAGCGCTCCAACGGCTCAAGGGATCACGACTTCGCTCCGGTCATTCATACGAATCTCGGATAACATTAGACGAGGAGTCCAGGGACGAACTGGCGTGGTGGTTGGCGCACATGGAGGCATGGAACGGAAGAGCCATCTTCGGTTCTGCCCCGGACGTAGTGATAGAGTCCGATGCCAGCTTACACGGCTGGGGCGCTCGTTGTGGCAACGTCTCCACAGGAGGCAGGTGGTCCGACACAGAGAAGTCGTTACACATCAACTGCCTGGAACTTCTGGCAGGTGCCTTCGCGATCCGCAGCCTTGCTCCGGGGAGGGCGAATTGTTGCGTTCTCCTCAAGATGGACAACGTATCAGCAGTCCGTTACATAAATCACCTAGGGGGCACGAAATCCAAAATGTTGGCGATTCTGGCAAAGGATTTTTGGCAGTTCTGCCTCTACAACAACGTTTCGGTGACGGCGGAACACATCCCAGGTCTGGACAATTCGGGGGCGGATTGGAATTCCAGACACTTACGGGACTCCGGGGACTGGCATCTACATGCTTCAGTGTTCCAGTGCCTGAACAGGTTGTGGGGCCGGTTCCAGTTGGACCTATTCGCGTCACGCCTGAACACTCAGCTACCGAGGTTCTACAGTTGGAGGCCGGACCCGGCTGCAATAGCGACAGATGCCTTCCTCCAGGAATGGCCACCGGGTCTGATGTACGCCTTTCCCCCATTCAACATGATCGCACGCACGATCTCGAAACTGGTCCGCCACGATTGTCGGATGGCTTTGATCACCCCTCTATGGAGGTCTCGACCATGGTTCCCTCGGCTGATGGAACTGTCAATAGACTACCCTCGTTTACTTCCGGTATTCCAAGACCTCCTTCTGGATCTGGATGGGAACTCTCACGACCTGGTGTTGCAGCATCAGCTACCCCTCATAGCATGGTTCCTTTCAGGGGACCTTGGGTTATCCCAGACGTTTCGCAGTCAACTCTCCTACTCCTCGATAACGCCTGGGCCCCGGGTACACGGACAGCTTACCGACATTCATGGGGATCATGGTCTGGTTGGTGCATGGAACGGGCAATGGATCCCGTATCTGCCCCTCTGCCTTTGATTCTGGAGTTCCTCACGTTCCTATTTGATTCGGGCAAGGCATACCGCACGATCAACCTTTTCCGCTCAGCTATCTCAGCCGGTCACGAAGGTCTAGACGGTTCTCCGGTTGGCAAGCATCCTTTTGTCTGTCGACTTCTCAAGGGTATTCGCCTTGCTCGTCCTCCTCGACCTCGTTTTGCCGCCTTTTGGGACGTCAACGTGATGCTACAGTTCCTATCATCATGGTACCCCAATTTGGAGCTGACTCTCAAGCAATTGTCTGCCAAATTGGTTATGTTACTGTGCCTGATTTCTTGCAGAAGAGTCTCTGACGTTCGGGCCCTGGACTGGGACGCCGTTGCATTCACCCCAGAAGGCGTCACCTTTGACATTTCCAGGAGGACCAAGTCTGCATCTAAGTCACTTACATACCCTAGGTTTTCAGACTGTCCAGCGCTCTGCCCGGTGGATTGCATCAAGGACTATCTGGATGTTACACGTCCCCTTCGCATGACAGACCTGCACGATCTGTTCATATCCTTTAAATCGCCTCACCGGCCGGTTTCGACTCCTACTCTAGCACGTTGGGTGCGCTGGCTGCT